ACAATATCGGACCTCTGAAAAGTATAAGCATGCATATGTACTCAGTACTTGGTTTGGGCCCCTTCTGCAGCAATTACTGCCTCAATGCAGTGTGACATGGAAGCTATCAGCCTGTGGCACTGCTGAGGTGTTATGGAAGACCAGGATGCTTCAATAGCGGCCTTCAGCTCTTCTGCATTGTTCGGTCTCATGTCTCTCATCTTTCTCTTGGCAATGGCCCATAGATTCTCTATGGGGTTCAGGTCAGGCAAGTTTGCTGGCCAATCAAGCACAGTAATCCCATGGTCATTGAACCAGGTTTTGGTGCTTTTGGCAGTTTGTGCCTCTCCATTCTTCCTCCAAACTCTGGGTCCTTGGTTTCCAAATGAGATGCAAAAGTTGCTCTCATCAGAAAAGAGGATTTTGGACCACTGAGCACCAGACTAGTTCTGTTTTTCTTTAGACCAGGTAAGATGCTTCTGACATTGTTTGTTGTTCAGGAGCGGCTTGACAAGAGGAATACGATATTTGAAGCTCATGTCCAGGATCCGTCTGTGTGTGGTGGCTCTTGATGCACTGACTCCTGCCTCAGTCCAGTCCTTGTGAAAGTCCCCAACACTTTTGAATGGCCTTTTCTTGACAATCCTCTCCAGGCTGTGGTCATCCCTGCTGCTTGTGCACCTTTTTCTTCCACACTTTTCCCTTCCACATAACTTTCTATTAATGTGCTTTGATACAGCACTTTGAGAACATCCAACTTCTTTTGCAATTACCTTTTGAGGCTTTCCCTCCTTATGGAGGGTGTCAATGATGGTTTTCTGTACAACTGTCAGGTCAGCAGTCTTTCCCATGATTGTGATTCCTACTGAACCAAGCTGAGAGACCATTTAAAGGCTCAGGAACCCTTTGCAGGTGTTAGCTGATTAGAGTGGGACATTTTGAGCCTAGAATATTGAACCTTTTCACAATATTCTAATTTTCTGAGATTGTGGATTTGGGGTTTTCATGAACTGTAAGCCATAATCATCTCACTTATGACACATCACGGCTTGAACTATCTTGCTTTGCATTTAATGAGTCTATCTCATATATTAGATTCACCTTTTAAGTTGCATTACTGAAATAAATGAACTTTTGCACGATATTCTAATTTTTCGAGTTTCACCTGTAAGCCTCATTATTTAATCATTTTTGGATGTCAGTAATTTACAGCTAAAGAGGGATGCTCTGAGTGGCATGATAAAAATTCCATTTGATGATTATTATGCTTTCTGTATTACAAAGGAATAAAGAAAAAAGGTTTTAAAGACTTAAACATTTTTGGCAGAAAAAAATTAACAAGAAGTTGATGTAAGAAACTTTAAAACATGTAAAGAAACAGTTATCTCAAAAGACTATTTAGGGTGAAAGTGCTTTTGAACAAATTGGAATTAAACAAATCAAGCTTCACAGGAATGGTTTTTATTTTCTACTAATGAGCACAGATAATTGGGGGATTTAAAGGACAAAAATACAGATAATATGAACCAGAAGTTAAATTAATGGACTAAAATTCTACTCTTCTTTTGGATTTCTATTTGAAAAGAATATCTAAATCTCAAAGAATCATGGAAAAGTAGGCATTAATTGTGCTTTAGCTATAGATTATGATCAGTGCCCCCCCCCACTAAACTAAGCTATTGCAAGACAGTTCAGTTATTGTGGTGAAAACTTTACTCTTTTTGATGTCAATAAAGGGATAAAAACTGATTACATCTGCTCTGATGAAGCACAGCCTTCATTCTTCCTTGCAAATAATGTAGCAACAAACATTCCTCAACACTGTAGCACAATAATGTTTTATTTTAAGGATATGAAACTTGCTCTGGAAGCTTTATCAGCTGAAAAATGGGACATAAATGTTTGAAGTAAATAAATATAGTCATTCCACTGAATCTGCTGCATTATGGCTTCTCTTGTCGCTCCTGAACAACTTTCATCATTCTTTATAAAAACATTGTTTATATTTAAAAACTGGTATTTGTACTTGTCTTTCTTCATCCTTTTTGCAAACTTGATTCAAATCTGAACTAGGCTATAAATCATGTTGTTTTTGAAAACAACACAATATATAGCTTAGTATAATACTTGAACCTGACCTTTATGAAATTCTGTGGAAGTACAGTATTAAGATCCTTTGATTAACGAAGAATTGCATAAGAAATGATGCTGTTTAAATATTCAAACACTTATGCTTGTGCTTATTCATATTTAGATCTATAATTTGAAAAGGCCATCAAAAGTACCAACATTTGAACAGAACAAGCAATTACATTCAAATCCTGCTTGCTTCATTTTGTCTCATTAGCAATAATTTCTGAGTTCTGCAGAACTATTACCTAGTCAGTAGCAACTTCTCTACCTATTAGTGTTTTGAATTATGCTCAGAAAACAAAAATCAGTAATGCTATTTTAACACTTCCAAGATAAATGCTAGTTATTTTTTTTAGTTTCCAAGCATATAATACAATTAACCGGATAATATGCTCCATTTAGCTCAATGAGAGTAATCTCTATGTCACTACTGTAATTATAAGGATACTAAACTGCAATTAGCCACTATATTATGTTTCAGTTGATGTTTACAGTGATACACCATGTTGCACTGTAATACATTAACATGGATACTAACAAGACATATGTTCTTATGGCAAGGCTCTCTGGGTCTCAGATAGCATTTAGCTATAACACTGATTTTAAGAAAAGCCTTAGACTGGGAAGTAAAAAAAAAAAAATCCCAGAAGAAGGCAAAAATAAACCACTTCCCAATGATTACCAAGAAAGCCTAACAAATAGTCATGTAATCACTACGAACTGAGCTTGAATTGAATTCATCTGTACCTTTTAAAATTACATATTTTTCTTTCTTTCTTGAAGTGTCATTTCCACCAGCTTTTATACATGTTGAAATGGAAATAAATCCTGCTAAAGGTACTTGATTTTGCTCCCAGTAATGAAAAACATCGCCTTGTTAGTTCCTGTTAAAGAATATAAATCAATCATATATAGACAGAATTCTTAGTGGGTAAGTGGATCCACAACTTGATCCACAACTCAACTTATTTATTAAGGTAAATGACCAGCTAAATTAACGGTATTTCATAAATTACTTCTTGTCTTTTTAAACTGAGAAATCGGATGCTACAGAGATGGCAAGCTAGAGGAAACAATATTTTTGTGTTTAATAGTGATAAAAACAAAACTATGGCAATTACAGCCTATTAATGAAGAGTGAGAAAGACAACTGCCCAAAATCTCTATTCCACAAGAACCTGTGCATTTTATTATCTTAAAAGATGACCTATATATAGTTATAAAATATTAAAAATCAAATCAATATTGTAGGTTAGATCTGAACATAAAAAGATTAAAGACACTAATCTGCCCCAAAAAATCGAAAACATGTTTAAGATCTAGGACATATTATTCCAAAATGTAGTACATATTCTTCAGCAAAGCAAGCCTTAGTGGAAAATCTTATATCACATTACAGATAAAGTTTATTTAATAAAAAACTTCAACATCAAACAATTACATAAAGAAGAATCAAGCATGACTTGAATACCAATATCCGTCAACCCATTTCAGAAGACTAATGTCACAACATAAGTCAACTTCACTTTAAATAAGATTTTAGTATCAAGACTTCATTATTTGGGTTTCAGAAGAATGCTATTAAACTTATTACATAACACTTTTTCCACCACTTCAATCAATGCTACATCACATGGACTTTTAATTGAAAGCAAGTGGGGGACTTACTTGGGGAGCTATTTTCAAATAAACATCTGCATTATCTAGTCAACTACAAAAACATTTCTTCAAGTATGTGTGGAAATGGGGAATATTTTGGTCAGATATATAATCAACCCTTCCAGGCGTTCAGCATTCTAGCAACAACACGCTCTACACTTGGAGAAAAGTAACATTACTGTATGCAGTATTTTGGGCAAAGAGGGGGGAGGGGGTTGCACGGAGCAATCAGGAACGAGAGACGCTGCAGAGTTAAAGCAAGTCATCCTAAAGTGAGACACTCCTTTTCCTCATCACCTCCTCCCCAGAAATAAATATAAAACAAATATAAAAATGGAGCCACTTTCCCCCTGTCCTTTGGATCCAGAAATAAGTCTCCCTTGTCTGACCAAATGCTTCCCAGGGCACCCTACGCCTCTGCCAATCAACGCTGCTAATAGGGTTCAAGGTTCAGCCCTCAACCTGGCTCGTCTCCCACGGCCCGCCTTACCCTTATCCCTCCCGGCAGTTAAAGACCTAAAAACGAATAAACAAGGTGACACCAGGCCAAGGAGCGAGTCGGTTCTGAAAAGAGAGGCTGGCAACCAGCCTCTGCCCTCCAGGTTTCCCTTGAACAAGCTGGGCAGGAAAAAGTAGAGGGCAGATCTCGCTCTCCTCTCCGTTTGTTCAGCCGGGACGCCACGAAACTGAGGGAGTCCCCGAAGGGCATGAAGAGCTCCTTCCGTAATCACGACCCTCAAAGAAGCAATAACATGCCTTTTCCCACCCCTCACTCCTCCTTGTCTCTCTCAGGCCCCCGCCAGGGACAGCCGGGGCGAGACGACAGCGCGGCTACGCAGCCTGTTTATTTGTCAGAGTCAAGCTGGCTGAATGGCTGCTTTTCCTCTCACTCGCTCAGTCTTACCGTGGCTCAGAGCCCAGCTGCGAGGTAGTGCCACCACCGCCGCCGCCCCCTTTCTCTGACAGAGGGCTGTCTCCTCAACCTTCGGCACCGCTCCCAACCGTCGGCACCGCCGCCGCCTTTAGCGCCGCTACCACCCCAGCGCAGCAAAATGATGCCATCTCACAGCAGCGGCATCGGAGCCTCTCCTAACCCGAGAGCGCGCTCTCGCGCTCGGGCTCCCGTCTGCCCCGGGCGGCGCGCGTCTCAACCGTCGAGGAAGGGGAGGAGAAGACAACCCAAACGCGACCGAAACGGGGAAATGTAACAAGACCTCAGGGCAGGGGAGAAAGAATGCGCACGCGCACACACCAGCCGCCTAGCCAAGGAACTGAAGAGAGATGGAAGTTGCCAGTGCAAAAAACAGCCGCTTGATTTACTGCTCCCCGCTGGAGCAGAGGTCACGGACCAAACCACTACTTCTAAAAGGTAAAGGGGTGACATCTGAAAGTGAACACTTGTGGCCGGGTAACATTAATATCTCGCCCTTCCCCGGTACAGTCTGGACTGAACCAAGTGAGAAGAAATCGAGGAGGGACAGTTGTTAACAATTTAACTGGAAAAATTGGGAAGTAGCGATTGGTTGTACCCTTTTAGGGCAATCTATTATTTAATTAATATTTATTTGATAGATCTACATGATTCAACCAGTTGATCGGATGATCTGTTAGATAGGTCTCAGGTCTGTAACGTGAATTGCTACACTTCCTATAAATACCTGTGAATAAGCCTACTGAACAAAATAAAATCAATTGAACGTAGTTGAAAGGCAGGCTAAATATTTTTGTCTAAATAGTTTACATAATAGTTACCTTAGATCAGTGGTGATCAGCAGAACTGATAGCTAATTTTTTGTTGCCCAGGCCCAGAACGGATTTCTGGAAGTGGCATCCACACAGAGAACCGGTCGTTCACATATTTGAATCCCACCACTGCCTTTGATTATATTATCTATCATAGATAATATATATCTGGATCTATATCTAATATCATATATTAATATTAAGACCACAGTTTTTTTCTGGCCTAATCTGTGGGGGTGGGGGAAAGAAATCTTAAGGAGCTTTGGGATAAATATGATACTGTACTCAAACATAAGATTAAGCTATGTAGCAAGAAGCAGATAGACAAAAACTATCTAGACTAAGGGTCCCCAACCCCTGGTCTGTGGACCAGTACTAGGCCACGGCATGCCAGCAACCGGTCTGCACAAATAAGCAAAACCCCATCCGTGGGATGCAGGCAACACACAAAACCATGCACTCTCTGGTCCGTGAAAATATCTTTCTCCATGGAACTGGTCCCTGGTGCCCAAAAGGTTGGGGACCTCTGATCTTGATCACTGAAACACTGATAGACCATTGAAACAGTGACACTTAGTCCATCATCAAAATATTTGGGTACCAGAGTGTCTCACACCATCCTGAATGTGTATCTGTACACTGCATATACTGTATATACCTCCTGGTTGATGGGATGGAGCTTGCAAAGTCCTGAATAGGGATCCCAAAATGCACAGAATAATTTAAGCATCCTTTGGGCAAAGTCTTAGTATAGGGTGAAAGGATGATAAAAGGGTGTAAATGTGGGACAGATCATTATTTTTTTCAGTAGTGGATCTTAAGAAAATAAAGACATGGAAGCAAAGGAAAGAAGAAAGAAAAGTCTAAAGCAAAAATGGTTCTATATAAGAATTTGTTTCTATTCCCTTTGTTAAATATATATGGGTTACTTAAGAAATGTGTTTGCTGAAACAAGAAGAAATAGAAAGGGTCATGAAGACCAGTACAAAAATTATGCTAGTATGGTTGGTCATACAATTCAGAGAATGAATGAGATACATTTGCAAATCTAAAATGTAAAATAAAAGTGAATAGATTAAGAGGATGTAAATATCATGGTTGGATGGAATTCAGAAAGGGAGAGGTCATAAGTGTAAAAAATAAAATATAGTATACAAAGTGATGGATGAATGTGATGGAAGCAAAGGTGGTTTATAAGGGTAGAATGATACAGAGAGATATACCGTGTTTCCCTGAAAATAAGACCCAGTCTTTTTATTTATTTATTTTTGCCTCCAAAAGAGGCACCAGGTCTTATTTTCGGTGGGTGGGTGTTTTTTCCAGTCACCTTGCCCAGCCGGCCCACTTCTGCAGCCAAAGGAGCAGCTTCATTCTGCAGCTGAGAATGGAACTCTGGCCTGCATTTCGCAGTCAGAGGCCTTTCCGTTAGGCCACTGCAGCTGAGAACCAAGCTATGGATTTCTTTTGTCCATCTCTCATAGCCTCATCTATGCTCTAGACCAAAGGTCCCCAACTTTTTGGGCACTAGGACCAGTTACATGGAGATAGATTTTTCCACAGACCAGAGGGGGCATGGTTTTGTGTGCTGCCTGCATCCTGTGGATGGGGCTTTCCTTGTTTGTGCGGACTGGTTGCTGGCATGCCGTGGCCCGGTACTGGTCCACGGACCGGGGGTTGGGGACCCCTGCTCTAAATATAGGAAAAAAGATACTTCAGCACTTAGATAGGATGAGAAACTTGCATCAGTCTTCCACAACCACAAATCCTCCTAGTGGATTCCATTTTTTTTTAACTTTGTTTTATTTATATCTATTAAGAATGTCCATACAATAAAAGATTCATCAAAAGAAGAAAGAACAAGAAAAACAAAAGTGCAAGAAAAAAAGAAAATTAAAGAAATACAGTATAGAAATAACTTCTGGCCTTCTTTTAAACAGATAATTATGAGTTTATTGTCCCTCCTCCCTCTTAAATATTTTACAAATCCCCTCGTTCTGTATCTTTCTTAATCTTCAAAGCCATAAATCATAAATTCATTTTTTTCAACATGTTTTTATAACTTTTCCAATCTTTCAAAAAAGTTTTTATAGTTTATCTTGTCACCAAACAAGTGAATTTCTCCATTTTTGCAAATTCTGTCATTTTTACAATCCTTTCTTCTGCTGTGGCAATTTCATTATTTCTCCATCCAATAGGTTCAATTTTGGCTAGGAAAGGCTGAGCATATTTAGGACAAATAGCTGTTATGCCAAACACAGGTGCAGCACCACTGCCATGCATGCACAGTCCAAAGGAAAAAAATAGTAGTCAACTTAATAGCAGACTTTGTCTGTAAAATATGCAAAGTCATTTCTCCGTAGTAGCTGATGTCAGCATAGCACTAAGCACATATATGTCTCCATAGAGATGAGGGAAACTACACAAAATCAAGACAAACAGCATAACATCACATTCCATACATTACATCTATGTAAAATGAATATCATTTAGTCATGAAAATAAATATCATGAGAACAAAAAGAGCATACAATTAATCTATCACTAATTATCCTCTGTCTCTCCTTAGTATTGGCCAATTTCAGGCTTTCTGTTCACATTTATCTGGCTACCTAGAACAGAGAATGATGGTTTTAAAGGACAGTTACAGTTGACAAAAATAAAAGTAAATTCAACTTTATTTTTGAACTTTTTTCAGTTTTCATGCTGTTGTAAATTACTGTGACTAATTATCCCAGCATGCAATATGAGAAGGATAAAGTTAGAAGACCATGTTGCTGGGACTCATATTCTCAGCAGGGCTTTATCTTTTCATTACACTACAAGGAAACATAATCTGCTTCATGTAGTACTCTTTCTTTGTAAATTGACATTGAGATGCCATAAAGGTTATATGCCAAACCATAAATCAAGCCACATTTAATTTCTTCTCAAAGGGACTTCATCTAACCTTACTTGAAAAGTAGAATGAAAAACTGCTAGTCAGCAGGACACTGCAATCCAAATAATTGTTAAAAGTTTTTTGAACATTAAAAAAAAGCTATGTTTCTGCCTTTTTTGAAGATTTAGAATTAGAATTCAGTACTCCTCAAAAGCTAAAAATTGACTGAAGCAATAATGCTGATAAAAGTAGATTAAAGGGACAATCGTGATTTCAGAGAGATAAATAAAATCTAACATTTTGCCACATTGTTTTTTGTTGTTTTTTTCTTTTGAAAATTAAACATTTACAAGAAGTAATATGGAATGTCTCTGTTTTAGAAATAGGTAATGATTAAGCAGCTTAGAAATATAAACAACCAAGAACTCAAATATAACCCTCATTCTTTTTTTTTTCTTTTTTTTGAGAAGGGAAAGCTAGTACTTTACCTTTTATTTGAATTCATGGGAAAAGACTTTTGAAGATAAAATGGGAGGGGGAAAACAACCATGGAATATAAAGTGGGATATAAATTATTAATATATAAGGTAATTACTGCATAACATAAATTATTACGAACTGGACTGTGGTATATCACATGCTGGAAGTCTGATTCTAATTGGGCAGATGTGATTGTTTATGTGTAGAGTTAATATGTTTATAAAACAATACAAAGGTTCTAAATAAAACAAACAAGAGAGGAAGTAATACAACGAAAACTGGCATATAACTGCTGGTATTGCATTTGATCCTGTTTGCAATAGACAAGGGTTCCAGAAATTTTTTTGGGGTTGGTGTTTATATCCCAAAACCTACATTAATAATTTTCCCAAGACAAGTAACACAACAAATGTAGCTCTCAAATTCTGGTCCCTTGAAAGTAACTAAACTCCATTCAAGCATTTCATAAATAGCATATAGTGCAGTATTCCCCCCAAAAAACAACTGGTATTGGGAAACAAGCTTCTGATACTGGAGATAATCTACTGAGATTACAAACATAGCCATTGTTAGGAATTCTCAAGCTTTTTATCTGGAGGGCTTTTTAAAGAGTCAGTGCAATGAAGTGGTGAAGACCTTGGACAAGGATCAGAAAGTTCAAGTCCACTCTCAGCTAAGGAAGCTCAATGGATGACCTTGAGCCAAGTATTCTCTCTCAGATAAATGTGACATTATTGTAGAGAAAAATTGGAGAAGAGATTGTTATGTCCGGGGACTGAGTTCCTGGAAGAAAGGTAATATATAAATCCAAACAAATAAAGAGCATCAAGGCTGGCCAGCCAAAAATGGTAGCAAATACGGACAAAGACAGAGCATAATATAAATTTATAAAGAAAAGCTAAAATGTTATGATCAGAGCATCTATTTTAATAAGAGAAATATTCCAGCGTTATTAATGTAGCAACATTTTAATCACTTTTTATTCCACATTACACATTGTTTTGTCTATAAGTACTCTATTATGATGCAAGTAGAACCAAATCTGGTGAGCAAGGAGGCTCCGAGATTCAGAGGAATGCTGAGATCAGGAAGAAATACTGGCATAATTTTTTTATCAAGCCATCCAGGTTGATGTCCATTACTACAGCTTGTGGAATTTGATTATTTGCTTTGTGACAAAGAATTTCATTTTGTCTTTCCAAATCTCCCGTTATTCAGCTTCATTAGATGATGCTCATTTCTGAGTATAAGGAGAAAAGACAGAAATCTGCTCTTGTACTGTTTTTCATGCCCCACATAGTTTAGTCTATTTTTTTCTGAGCTAAAAACCTCATATGTTGAAATTTCCTTTGTTTTTTCAGTTCAATATTTTTTTCAGAGCAGTAACCAAGATTAACTTCCCAACAGAGTTACAGCAGTGTTTTGTTACAGTAAAATGTTGATTTGCAGAATCTTACTCAGCAGTCTTCAGATACCACAGACATTTTTGTTCAGACTTCACCTCCAAATAATGGAGATAGTCCTTTATTTCTAAAGCCATCCATAATTTGTGTCACTTGTTCAATAAATGTCTTTTGCATAATTATATAAAATGTGGTGTAGTTAGTCCTCAACTTACAACCACTCATTCAATGACCATTACAATGGCACTGGAAAAAGTGACTTCTGACCATTTTTCACACACACCATGGTCACATGATCAAAATTCAAACATTTGGCAACTGGCTCATATTTATGACAATTGCAGTGTCCTGGGGTCATTTTCTAACCTTTTGCAACCTTCTGATGAGCAAAGTCAATGGGAAAGCCAGATTCAGTTATCAACTGTGTTACTACAGTAACTTAACAACTGCAGGGATTCACTTAATAATTATGGGAAGAAAAGTCATAAAATGGAGCAAAACTCAATGACCGTCTCATTTAGTAATGGAAATTTTGGACTCAGTTGTGGTCATGTTGAAAACTACCTGTACTTACATAATATTTAATTATGCAATTAAGATAAATATAAAATTTTGCAATTGGTGTAAATTGATGCCATTAGTTGGTCATTTATGAATTCCAATTTAATGGACAATTATTTTTAATGGAGTTCCTCCACATAAGTGGCACATAAAATCATGATATTTACTGCATGATATTTACATACTTATATTATTGATTCCCTACTTGGAATCTGCCTTTTTTGCAGAAGGTAGCCAATATGTTAACTGAAATATCAATTAAGTTGTCAGTCAAAAATATTTGTATTTGGTTCTGTACTTGTATTGGCAGGGCTTTTTTTTTTTGTCATAGAACACACCGGAATGGAGTTCCAGCACCTTTTTTCAACCGATTTTCCAGAGTTGCATTCTTTTCCTATTGTTGCCCTTCCTATCCTTGTTTGCTTTTGAAAATGCCCCACTGGTGGTACAGTGTGAACGGGGTCCCCTCCAGCACTCTTTGCTTCCTCTAGGAGGAGCCATGAGGCGCTGGAGCACCACAGCAAGAGTGTGGCTTGATTGACTAAGTCGAACCACCTGGTGTGGAAGCTGATGGTGGCAGTGGGAGACACATAAACATGGAGGCTATCTTTCACGAGAGGGTAAGTGAGACTTTTGCCTTTCCTTATAGAAGGTGGGGGGGTGTGAGTTAAAAAGAGGCAAAATGAGAGGAAAAAAAGGTGTTTGGCGTGGAAGCTTGCCCAACAGCGAAACTTTGCTGTTTTGGTTCCTTGGCTGGGATGTCTACGAAAATCTCTTTTTAGTCTTTTATACTTTATATTCAAACTGCAGAGGGAAAGAAAGCACTGTATATTGGTATTTTCTAATGAAAGAGACTAAGCTCAATTGTAGAGCACATAATTTTCATTATACAGCATGTGAAATATCTATTTGTTTGTCTCTATAACTGCCAATTTATTCTGCAGGGTTGATTTTACTCATTGAGATCCATACTTTGATATTGAAAGAATAAAGGAAAATTGCAACATATAAGGCTTTTCACTCAGAAAAAAAATAGATTTAACTATGTGGGGCATGAAAAACAGAACAAGAGGACATTTTTCCGCCTTCTTTCCTTATACTCAAAAATGAGCATCTGGTGCCAAATCTGATTTATTAGTTTTTTGAATTACCAGACTTTAGTATTGTTATTGTTGCTGATACTGTATTACCATCAAATAGCTAGGCAAGTAATATTAATCACTATATTCACTAAAAGAACACAATCACTTGTCTATGATCCAAAATAATCTACTGTTTTTAATAGGCTGATTTAATATGGCTGAGTCCCAGAGTGCATTTTAAAAAAAACTCTGAAATGTTGAACTGGAAACAGAATATGTTTAGGCACTTGAGGTGCCATGAGTAAATTATTACTTATCTCTGTTAGCCTATTAAAGTTAAACTTCACTTGTTGTGCTCTGAATTCAATTGGATTGAATGGTACTTTATTTTGCTAGCTCCCACCACTTGTGTTATGCAGGGTGTATTAAAATCTTTTGAGTCTTCAGAATCTGAATCTGTAATTGTAAACTATATTATGACAGAACTGGATGTCCAGTCAACATGCACCATGTATTTTTGAGAAGAGGTCTGCATTGCACTGCTTTTGTTGCAGCTGGCTCAAAACATTTTGCTATCTAAAATAGATAGGTAGGGGCCCATAATGTCTTCTTCCTCCTTCTCTCTTCTATTCCTATTTAGTTTTTTTTTCCCCATCTGTTAGGTCGAGGCGCTCTCTGGGTCCATTTCACTACTTGGTGTCCTCCAGAAAAAAAAAAAGGGCCCTCAGAGTGAAGAACTGTGGCAAAAATTGAATTAGAATGTGTTTAGGCTAAATATCAGCACTTATTTCTCCCCAAACTAGAGAATTCATTTTTCTTTTTTTGAAATATCACATAAAATTGCTGAAAACTTCTGTGGACTCAGCAGATATGATAAAAAGAGTTCAGTGATTTTATTTATTTATTTATTTTTGTACATTTTAAGTTTCTGGTGTGCTAGTCTAAGGTAGATTCTTCAGAGTAATTCAGTTGTGGGTGTGGAACTCAAAGAAGGAGAACCCAGGCAATTTGGAATGAGTTGTGCCACTTCAGCCTTCACATAAACAACATTTTGGAACAAGCTCCAAGGGTTTTTGAATGAGTCATTACAATTGGGGCACTGAATAGAAACACCTGGCAGGCAGAATGAAGGTGATACTGTTAAATATGTAAATACTGTAAGGATTTCCAGTTTCTGGCCAATAAAAGCAAACAATCATTTTGAGTTTTCAGAATGATATCAGTCACAAAACATAGTGATAGTCTTCAGTATCTGAGACAACAATTGTTAGGAATTAAAAATATATACCTTTAAATAAAACATCCTGTTTCTTGTTAAAAACTGGACATTTAAAAAAATCCTGTTGAGCTTGAAATAAAAGTGGTTTAACATGACTTTAAGGCTACAGTTTTTTGTGTATTTTCCTGAGGTAATTTTAATTTAATTTAATAGGTCTTATTTTTGAGTAAACATACAGAAATTGAGTGGAATATCTTATGCACACATAGAACATACTCATATTTGACATTGTTTGATTGAAGGAACCTGGAGCACACTCATACTGCTTGATCTCACTGGGAGTCTCTCTAAGTCTAAGAGATAGATGGTCCTTCATCTATCTCTTAGATGAAGCTTAGATAAAGCTTATGCAATATAGGGGTTTATAAGTAATAACCAGCATTGGGAATTGTACTTGGAAGCCAATTGAAAAACCATTGTACCTCACAAAGCAATGATGATATATGGGCATAGTGTGGGGCATCCACCAATGCCTGTAATGCTGCATTCTGGACCAGTTGTAACTTCAAGAATAGCCTCATGTATAACACATTACAGCAATCCAGTCAAGAGATGATTAGGTTGTGAGTGACTGTCCGAAAGGCCTCCAACTCTAGGAAAAGGTGTAACCTCTATAAAGGCCTCCCTGATTATAGTTGCTACTTGCTGCTTGAGCAGGAGCCTATGAGTCCAGGAAAAGACCCAGATTGCATAGCAACCCCATCAAAGACCAGACATGAAAAATCCTCAGATCCAGGGGACCCAAATCATCACAGTCATTTGGTCTTACCAGGTTTGGGATTGAGTATGTTCTTTCTCATACAGACATGAACACCCTTCACGGTGGGTTAGAATATTGACAGAAACACTTGGGTGGAATGGGTCAAGATATATAATTGGATATCATCAGCATATTGATAGTATGAGAGCTTAAACCAATAGACAATGTTACTCTGTTATTTCATGTAAATCAGAGTTCCACAACTTTCCAGTTTTCCAGACTGGCCGGGGTGTGTGTGGAGAGGGGATCATTCCATGCAAGTGGTTGGCAAGTCAGCGTATTGCCCCCAACAATCTGGGTCTTCATTTGATCACCCTCGGAAGTATGGAAGGCTGAATTAACCTTGAGCTGGTCAGGATCAAACTGGCAGTGAGCATAGTTAGTCTGCAATACTGCATTCTCATCACTGTGCCACCACAGCTCCTACTGAAATACTTACATTTTTCAACTCTTATTGCCACAAGGTAATCCTTAGCTCAAAATATTAAATGATTAGATGAAGGCATAAAATACAGTGCAATGTAAAAAAAATGTAATCCCCCATTTTTTTTTAGTATGTTAAGTTTTATCTCAGACTTTTCTCTACTGGGATACTGATAATAATGGAGTGGGAGAGGGGGGAACCATCATGGACATATGATGCAGTGAGAGAGAAAAATGAGGAAGATGAATAGTTTGTCCCTGGACTTTTTCTGCAAGGAATAGAAAAGCCTTGGTTGGATTCTCAATGTTAACAGATCAGGTGTTTACAATTTCAACAGGGATACATAACCTTGACAAACAGCCTCCAAATGGCCAATTTCCAACATAGAATTTTATTCCAATGGAATCCTAAAATCCAATATTTTCTACTGTTGATAGAATGCTCTTGATCTTGTTCTTTCTTTATGTGTTTAGGACTTTCTTCCAGGAGCCAATCCCTGGGCATAACAATCCCTTCTCCAATTTTCCTGTACACATTTATCTGAAAGAGAATACTTGGCTCAAGGTCATCCAGCAGGCTTACTTGGTTGAAAGTGGACTTGAACTTTATGATTCTTGTCCAGTGTGTTCATCATTACACTGCTGTGGCTCTCTAAAAGGGCCTTCCAGATAAAAAGCTTGACAATTCCTAAGGCTAATAATGGCTATGTCTTGTAATCTCACTTGATTATCTCCAACATCAGTTTCATTGGCAGGTCCTAGGATGTACTTTTAGACTGACCAGTAACTTTGAAAAACAATTTGCTTGGAAAAGCTTTTGCTTCATTTGAGCCTTGCCACCATTTATTGTTATATTTTAGAGGGCTAAAAACTGACCTTACGCTAATTAAGTTATATTTCAATATTTGTTATATTTTTATATTTTCAGGTTTCACTATAAACTATGCCATACATTTCAAGCTTCAATTTTGCTTGTCTCCGAAAAGTGGTGCTTAAATAAATGAATTGTGAAATCAGCCTCCTTAATCCTCTACCCCCTGGCTAAACTGGGCTCTGTTTCTCAGCCAGCATGCCTGTTGGAATGATACTAATGATTATCCCAACCTGTCTGGTAATCATCAGATTAAGGGTATTTAGTTTATTGCCCTCCTTTATTTCCCCAGCTTTCTTAAAAAAAAAAACAAAAAAAACAAGGCCTAGAGACAATCCCACATCCATAGGTCACACTCACCAACACATGGAAAGTAATTCACATATCAGTACTATTTATTGGTTGCTATCTGTTGTTATTAAAATGATAAAAGATAACTAGCTTACTCCTAAAATGTTAGGGGAATGGGGTAAAAGAAAAGATGTGTGTGTGAGAGAGAGAGAGAGGAAGAGGGAGGAAGGGAGGGAGGGAGGGGAGAGGAGAGGAGGGGAAAAGAGAGGAGAGGAGTGAATTCAATAAGACTTATGCTTAAATAGCCATGGCCCAAACCAAGATGCTGGTGATCATGCACTATTTTATGATCTCTTCTGTAACATAGACAGTAAGTGGGCATTCCCATCAAACCAGTATGACCAGTTCAAATATCAGTTTAAAAAGGCCAACAATAGGAGCAGATGGAAGGTTTCTGTTCCCAGTTTAGGAAACTGGAAGACTGTCACAAATCCATTGTGTGGGGGGTGGAGGGTTGTTTTGTTTTTGTTTTTTAAAAGGAAGTCTTCACTGCAGATTATATGTTCTTTATTGCACTACACTGTTCACAGGAAAAGAAAAGGAAGTGTGCAGATTAACAAAAAACAGAAAGGAAAATGCTGATGTCTGAATGAAATGGCTAATCATTTCCTGTTTTATGAAAGTTTCAGAATGTTCGCATGACATAAATTTTACTTTTATCTATAGAGACTGTATCAGGGGAAGTCAGGAAGGTACACACATACCTCCTCAAAACAACAGACTGAAATGCTCAGGCACAACATGCATTTTGTCTCTTGCAGAGCCTCCAGTTAATGTTGACAAAGCTATTCTGCTTTTCAAAAAAAAAAAAAAAACCTGTTCTCATTCCACTTGATGAAAATGGTCTTGCCTTAAACATCTTATTAGAGGAGAACAGCTTAAATAAATGTTAAGGGGTGAAGTGCATTAATCCTACCCTTGTTTAGGTAAGAAATGGTCAAGGAATGTGTCAATGTCCTTTCATAATCCAGTCCTTCCATAACTCTGTAAGTCACTTTGTTTCCCACCCTTCCAAGAAAGTCTGAATCCTCAGCTGCAGGAAAAATTCTATCTTGCTTAACGTGGCAAGGGTGGGAACTGAAGAGCTCAGGATGGTGCACATGCTGGAACATGTTCTTTCTTACTTACTTATACTCTGTCTATTACTTTTACAAGTAACCCAAGGTAGCAAACATATCCAACACATCTTTCTCCTCCTATTTTCCCCCACAACAGCAATGCTCTGAGGTGGGTTGAGCTGAGAGAGGGTGACTGGCCCAAAGTCATCTGGCTGGCTTTCATGGCTAAGGCCAGACTAGAACTCACAGTCTCCTTCTTTTACCACTGGACCAAACTGGCTTTTTATAGGCCCCAGATCATCTTTCTTAACCTTCAACGGTCTTAACCTTATATTCAAAAGCATTCAACAATACTCTTCCAGTATTAAATTGATATCCAAGAATAGTCTGAACATTAGCAGATAGACATGGGTAGGACTGCATTATGCAGCAGCAAAGAAGGTAACCTCTCTCACACTTCATTGGGCAAACTCCCTACCACCCATCACCAAACCAACTGCTGGTCAACTCCTGTTCAGACTTTCCGAGTTTCTGAATCCTCAATCAGGAATACTGATTTACAACTGGACTCTCATGCTGCCCTAAGCAGAATTGTCCTGGAAGCCAGTGCTCATGAGACAGAGGAGTAGAATCTATGCTTTCACCTTTCTGAGAGGTCTTAGAAATACCAGTCTGATCTCACTTTATGAAGCTTACCTGACTACATCACAGACAGGATAGTTGGTGAAGTATGTTGGATTATATCTATAGCAAAGTTGCATTGTTCTAAGCAGGGTAGGAGAACTGTTGTAATGCAGCTATGGCTTAGGGTAGCTTAAGGTTGCCTCAAGTATGTTCAGGGGAATCAGATGAAGGCAACCTCATGGGGTGGGTCGTGGTAGAGAAAACAAGCTGACAAGGCATTTTTGTGCCACAGCTAGATGCAAGTGAGGAAAGACAGTCTGAAGGAGGGAAAGAAACAAAACTGTTTATCTTTTCTTTTCTGCAGTCACATGATGCAACTTTTAAAACTTTCAACAGTTGGTTGCAATTGAAAATGCACAGCAGAAATAAATTAGGGAGACAGACGATGCCAAGAACAATGAAAACCATAAAAGAACAGAAGAATTTGAAGCCAAATTGTTAAATGGTAAATATTACTCTTTCGCTTTCTTTTTTTACCATACAACCACCTACCTATGTGCTGAAGCTTTAAGTTGTGATGAGTTTTAGTTTTAAGCCACTGAGGCTGTTAATCTTGTCTGAGTGGCATAATTATGATTATGATCAATTGGATATGCCTAATATATTAACCATCTGCTAAAGAATTTTTTTCTATCATTAAAAGGTTTGAATTGCTTCTTGACTGTTGCCAGATGTTCTAAAACAAAGGAGCCTTTTATCAATAATAATTAATACTTTAAAAATAATGATAAATATTGAAAGGCAAACAGCTGCAAAATAAAAAAAATGGTTCTACAATAAAAGAAATGTTGCACATATTATAAAAAATAAAATAAATGTAACTAAGGAAAAAACACATAACAAAAACGATCCTTATATTAATTTAGTATCAAGATGGGATTAATTCAATTCTTAAACTTAATTAATTAATTAAGTTCTTAAACTTGTCATTAAATCTACACCATATAAAACATATTGCTTTATTTTTTCATTTTTAGAATATACTTTCCGAAAATGGAAAACAGATTTACATCTCCCAGCTACAGAGGGCCTTGGGTGAAGTGAACCTTTTTCACTTAAAATTCAGTACTATACTTAGTACTATAGTACTAAGACAGCATTAGTTGCACTTGTGGATAACATTTGGATGTGGGTGGTATCCTGCTGCACACTCAACTGTGTGTGTTCCGCAGTTCACCCAAGTAACACCTTTGTTGCATAAGCTGCACTTCCAGTTGCTTTCTGAGTACAATTCAAGCTGCTTGTTATATAAAACCATGCATGGCACAGCGCCAGGTGTACTTGTGGGACTGCAACTCCTTGAGAATATTTGCCTATCTTACTAGGTTAACAGGTGGGTGAAGTCCTTAAATGTTGCCATATGATGGAATCTCAGAAACGTTTTCTCATTGGCCGCCTCAGTCCTTTGGAACAGCTTCCTGCCAGTGATTAGAAGAAACTTTACCTTTCAATATCAACTTTTTTAAAGAGAGAGAGAGAGAGAAATAAATAAAATCAATAAATAAAAATAATGTTTTCTGATTATTATTTTCTGGACCTATTTATTTTCCAAGTTTGGATATTCCAGTTGTTCATTTCATGATTCAGATATGCAGCTAATACTAACTTCCCTTCCCTTCTCCCTGAAACTGCTAATTCATGGAAAAAGACACTCAGAAGGGATCCTCCCTTACTTCTCAGGCTATAAAAGAGATGGCAGGATAGCTTGTACTATATCACACTTGGAAAAGTCTGTTAAACCTTATAAAATTATTCATCCAGTCATATTTCTTGACTGGAAAGGTCTACCTGGGAAGGCTGACACTTATTCACAGAAGTTACACATGTTCTGATTATTACATGATCTGTAACACTTTAATTATGATGCCATCCAGCATTCACAAGATTAACAGCTGTTCCCCAGATGGGAAGTACAAAACACACACTCTCTACTTATCCCCATCTTTGGAGGGATGTTCCTGAAGATAAATGCGAGATGTCCCACATCTCCTTTCTTTCCAGGTGGGAAACCTTTTGTTCTTTTGGAAACTGAAAGAAGCTTTCCAGTAGGTACGAGAAAAACATAAAACTAGGGGCTAGGGATCCAGTAGAAGAAAAAAAGAGAGCTGAGATCCTTCTCCAACCTTTGACTAAATGTGGATTTTTCATAAAAAGGGATTTCCAAGTAACAAATGGGCACAAAGGCATATACTTAGTAAAAAAGTTAATTAAAGTTAATTAAAAACTATGTTGACTTTATTTTCATACTTTTCCTGATTTTTGTTCTTTTTGTTCATTTCAAGATAATGTATTGTCTCTGATGGCTATTACCTTTATACAAATTCTGTCTTTGTCTGTAAAATATAAAGATGCAAACTGGCACCTTTATATAGCATTGCTTTTAAGTAGGAGATGATTAACATCATCTAAAGATCTGCTCAAACCTTTAACTTTTACTTTTTATTATTGGAGGTTCTTCTAAGATGCAGTGTGATTTATTAACTATATATGTTTATTTACCCATTGATTGCTTTGTGTGTAAATCCTTGAAGTTAAGAAAAATGCTAAACATACTCTGTTGATTTTTTTTAAAAAAAGGCTCGATTCTATTTACTTCTTGAGTAATTAAACTCTATTCTCTCATAAAAGAGGAGGCGTTCTCCAGTCAAATTTCTCAATACTACAGGACAAAAAAATAGTGCTATAGAATACATTAAATTTCCTTTTGATCATGTTTTCTTATAGTTGCCAGTAAGTTGCACAAGTCCTAGGAGCCCTATTTCCTTTGAATATAGTTGATGGCACACAAACAACCAAGTTGCCTCATCAAAACAAGAAATGGAGCTATGATATGTAGGCATACAGGGTTTCTTAGAGACGTTTGAGGCCTCTAAGCATTTATCTTACCATTTCAATCTTGCTCCTACAACTGCTTTACAATTTCTGCTTTTAATAGTAGGGTATAACTAAGGAAGAAAGATTGAAAGCCAGGACAAAGAACTGAGAATTTTGCAAGCTAGATATGAAACTGCACTCTTCTTTTATTAGTGAGTACACTAAGACAAAGTCTCTATGAGCCGTTTAAATTCTTTTCTTATAGAATCCCCAGTTGGTGGAAGGAGGGCTCACATAAGAAAAATGGCTAAACTATCTCTCACAAATAAAGGCAAATATACATGTTCCAGGATAATATTGCAGGATCCAATCTTGATCAGTCACTGGGACCAGAGATTTAGTCTTCCAAGCTTTTGGACTTGTGCTGGAGTCCAACCTCAGTGTGATACATTCTGGTGTGAGAGAAGTTCCCTGAGGATGGGCTCCAGTATGATTCCGAAAGTTCAGAAGACTAAATCTCTGGTCCCGGTGATCAATCTAGATTGGATCTTAAACTATTTTTTCATATTTGTCATGCTTCCAACATCTCCCTTTTCTTTTCCAGATTCCAAAATTACCCTTACATTGACCTTTGAAAAAAAATTCTATACCTCCAATATACCCCAAACTTTCCATTCTATCCAGCACCTGAACCCATTTCGGCTGACCACCTACAGATAATCAGAATTTGCATGTTTCCGGTGGAACTTTACAGAGCTATTGGAATTTCCCCATGTTAGAAGTCCTGGCGCAACCCACCTTCCAACTTCTAGATCCTTCTACTAACCCACATACACATTAAGGTTTTGGAAAATTACTTTTTAGCAATGATATGCTACTCTGCTGACTTTATAGCTACTTCTTTTTACAATTAGTCTTTTTACAAAGCCTCAAATATCAAACAGGGCATGAACTGAGAAAAAGGGACAGTGTTTGCACACTTTTTATTTTTGCAGCCTCCTATTTTATCAGTTGGAAGTGTACTCATTATCTCATTTGGAGTTCTTTGAATTTTGAGTTTAGCAGAGAAATGAATAGCTTAAAACTATAAATGGTGGTGTGCTGAAGAGATTTTAGTTTGCTCAAATGTTTGAAAATATCCTGTTAAGCACCCCTCATATTCTTACATCCATGTGCACTTTCCAGTCAACAAGCCCCTCAAATGGCAAAGAATTGTAGGATTTTAAAATCATTTAAGAGAGTTTAGTCTTCCAAGAACAAAAGCTATGCAGCTGATAGTTTTTTTCAAATGTTTTGTTGTGAATTCTCCTGGAAAATAATCCTAAATTCCTGATACAATGTTTGATAAATTGTTGACAAGCTAAGCTAGATTTACTAACTTCATAAACCAGAGAGAAGATTTTCCCAACCTGACTTCCTCCAGATGTTTTAAATGCAATTCTTAGGATTCTCAGAATGTTCACTTGATCTTCTGGGAATTTTACTAAAACATCTGGAAGGTGTCAGATTGAAAAAATCTTATTTAAGGATACTGAAATTTATATCTATAAATCTATCATTACTGTGCATTTCAGCAGAAAACAATTTTCTATATTTTTTTGTGTTGGTTAGAGAATCATGTCACTCTTTCCATCATAGATAATAATAATGAAGCAAACATCACTGGTTTATTTTATGTATTACTACATTTTAAAAAAGAAATTGAACTATTGCAAGCACATTGATAGAGTTTTCTGTTAATTCAGTAATCAGAACATATCACATTTTGTATTTCTGTATTTAATATGAACTCAGTCTGGGCATTTTGTGTGTAGGTTTGTACATGGCTGGGCTAGAATGATGATTTTTGGTTTCTTTTAAAAATGTTCTTCAACTTTGGGAACACTGTTCGAATAATATACCAAGCTTTATCCCTTCATATTTGAAGAAATAAAAAGCAATTAGTATTCTATAGACCAGGGGTGGCAAAGTGCCGGCCCACGGGCTGGATGTGTCCTGTGGAAGCCGCACCCACCTCAGCTCTGGCAAGGGGAAAAAAGTTGCGATACAACATGTGACGTCGCGAGTTTGACACCCTGCTATAGACAACCCTTTTGGGGAAAATAGAGCTCTCCCTACCACAGGTGCTTAGATTTCTGTGTTGCATTCTATTATTGTGTAAAATGTACAACTCTTGCTCATGAGAATCTTATTGTGGGCCAAGTTCACCTGAGATTCTTTAAGGTAGCATTTTCAGGTTACTGTTATCTCAGCAGTTAGAATACAAGAGACTGCAATTATGACTGGCTTTGAAGTTAGATTGAATTAATCACCCATGAGAGAAAAAGGTAGAATCTCAAAGTTCATAGGTTTTCATTAGAAATCAAGATGAACCCTGAAGGGATTGAAAGCATTATGGGAATCAGATATAAAGATTTTTTTACCTATGACTTAAGTATCTTATTAAATTTACGTAGAAATCACTGAAACAGATTTTGGTCAAAATTATGGCCAACTCAGTAAAGGGTGTTGTTTAATGCCAAGGAGAAAAGGGATTGTAATTTCAAGTTACAGTTTATTGAGGGATGGGCATAAAGGGCACAGGGGGGAGGGGACAAGCTTATTCAACTAACATTGAATGAACACTCAGTT